AGGTGGAGATTGTTGTGATTGGCTCATATTTTGAGCTGTTAACAATTATGTGACTTTGTGTGTTATGCTTTCGGAATAGTGGCCAAATATGTCCATATCTCATTTTGGCTAATAGTAGAAGACAATGATGATGTTTCATGGGATTCCTTTGTTTTGGCATTTTTTATTCATTTCCCATTTGCATGCCGAAAGTGGTTTTGGGTTTTGAGAAAAGGGAGCATGATGGATCATCATTGTGTCTATGAAAAAAAGGAGAAGTTGACTCACTTTTCTGTCCATTTAATTGCAAGGAGCCGAAGGGGAGAGGGAGAGAGAGAGCATCCGGAAAACACATAGGGAAAAGAAAATAGAGTGAGAGTGAGAAACTCTTGGGAAGAGTGAGGCTCTTGGAAAAATTCTGTGAGTGTACAAGAGATTGGGATTTGGGTTATGTCAATTTAACTCATGTATATTTTGTACTAGTTATTCTCATAGTGAAGAGCAATATCTCTCCGGGGACGTAGGCAGGTTTTTGCCGAACCTCGTAATTCTCTTGGTGTCTTTATTTCTTGTATTTTATTCTGTTCAACTGAGTGTGATTTTGGTGAGGTTGTAATCTGAATCTCGTTTCCGCACTGACAAACGGGCCAAGGCACAACATCTTGATATCCTTTCTCTCAGGGGTTTCACTAAGTTTAGCCGTGCTGATTACGTGAATTACAAGAAGGAAGGCCGAATCCAGCCAGATGGCGTTAACGCTAAGGTAATACACGATTTTTTCATTATATCCTACATTCTATTATTTGTTATGCAAGTTATCAAAAATGGAAAGGTTGGATGCCGATTTCTGTGTTGTCATTCTTCAACCTTATCATTTACTTTAGTGTCCGAAGGGTTTACATGTATGTGCAGCCCTTCGTAACTAATGATTCTTAATATTTGATTGTGCAGCTTCTTAGATGCCATGGTCCTCTGGCCAACCGTCAACCCGGAAAAGCATTCCTCACTCAACCTGCCCCATCGACTGCTTGAAAGTATGATATTGCTTTTATCATAGCATCTATGTAGAACTCATGCTGAGTATTTCTTTTGGGGTTCGTCTGGTTCGAATCAAACGAATATGGTATATGGTATTTGCGATTTGTGAACGCTGGTTAGACTTATCTAAACACGCAGTATCATTTCACTAAATGTTGGTTTATCATTTTGTTGAGCATTCTTTGGAGGTAGACTTGACATTTTGGACCCGACCCGTTAATATTAGTATTTGGGTGGATGTTTAACGGGTCGGGTTGTTAACGGATGAACCCGTTAAATAACGGGTCACTTTGGTTCAACCCGTTAGCACCTGTTAGTTGATAATGTTTTAGTAATTTCAATAAAGTCTTGACAACAAAAAACAACTTTATGCAAAAAGATAATAATAATAATTGTTAACGGGTGTTAATGGGTGACCCGTTAGTTTAACGGGTCGGGTTCGGATGACCGTTAGCTTAACATGTTAGGTTCAGATGACCTGTTAACTTAACGGGTCGGATTGAACCCAATTCAAACCTGATAAACCCAACCCATTTACAGGTCTATTTGGAGTTATTTTGCCACTCGTTGCATCCTGACCACTGTCGGTCTACTATTCTGTGAACGATTTCGACTCCCGACCGCCGTCGGACTAGCAACACGGTTGCTCGAGTTAACCTTGTATCAAGGGCCTGATTTTTTTGGTACAGAATAGTGTGCAATTTATCATGGCTTGGGATCCAAGATTCATCTCCTCGTGCATTGATTCTCCTAAACAATTGTAGTTACTTATGCCTCATTTTTTAAAAGGAAGAAACATAATTTGATCCCGATTCGATTGAGAGCGTAGATTTATTTGTATATAATTAGCAAGTACTGAAGTCACGTATACACTTTATTTGATTCATAGTTGACGAGCACGTATGTTGTATGGAAATTGACAATAGTACAATTATCTAGCTCAAAATAGTTAGAAAAATTACAGTATCATGATGTATTCAATAAAACGTAAAAATAAACGAATCGAAATCCTGTTTGGATCTTATAGTTATGAGTTAAGAAACTGAGTAAGTCAGACTACTCATTTCAAATTTTACAATCATCACTAGTCCATCTCACTGATCCACCTCATAAAAATTAAAAGTCGAAATTTTTCTCCAACTTCGGATTACGCAGTCTCTCGGTTTAGACAAGATTCGGAGGGGATCTGAATTCAAAATAAACGGGGTGAGAATTGTAGCCATGTCCCCTTGACCAAACTCCCAATTGAGCTTAAGGTCCATTTGCAGGGTTTTTTTTTATTTCCTTTGGAAACAACTTTTAATTACCAGAATCCATGGCGGCTTCCCAAAAATGACCGCGCGCTAACGAGTCTTCACTGAAGAGAGCAAAAGGAAATTACCAATTTTTAATGGTGGGAAATGCGGGCAGGTGAAAAAAGCCGTTGAATTTGGTAAATCGAAATCCGACTGAAGTCTTTGCATTTTGGTGAAGCTGAATCCAAATCCCTAATCGAATCCCCAAATTACACGCACGCCCAAAATTCAAATGTCAAAACCCTCGTCTGGGATCATCCAAGGCCTGCTTAGATTCCACCGCAATCAAATCTCAAAACCCTCGTCTCCGTCTCCTCCTCCGTTCTCCACCGCCAGGAGGAGCTACCACTCCACCAATGGGCCTCCTCCCCAATTCCCCTCTCACCCAAAACCAGTCCCCGGCGGCGGTGGCGGAAGCTACTCCGGGCCGGGACTCGGTTACGGCCTGGGCATGAGGTTCTTCTCCGTCAAGCCGTCGAATTTCAGCAAAATCGATGCAAAGAAGGTGTTCGATAAGCCGCTTTCCGCGGTGTCATCGGCTTTCTCGCGGTATCAGGGGGCCATTGGGTTGCAGATTGAGGCGTTCTGGAAGAGGAACAATCTGGTGCTGTTGGGAATCGGCGCAGTGTTGGTGTGTGCTCTGCTGTGGCGGCTCATGTTTGGGATTGCTAGCACCTTCATTGGACTCTCTGAAGGCATGGCCAAGTATGGCTTCCTCGCCCTTTCTACCGCCATTGTCGCATTCGCTGTAAGTTCCTCTGAATCCCTAGCTGATCTTGTAATGACATATAAGTAGCTCAGCTGAGAATGCACAAATTGCTAGTCAATTTAATGATTTATAAGTAGCTAAGAATGCACAAATTGCTACCCAAGTTAATGATTTAGAACTATAGTCTACAACCTCTAGTGGTGGATTTGTAATGAAGTTATTCAGATTCTTTTCCAATGGGTTCAGTTTTACTGTTTTTCGGAGTCTATGTATGATCAAAAGTTCAAGTCTTTACCTATAGGATAGCATGAACTGAAATCGTGATATTTTCTTATTCGGTGTATTTGTTTTCCTGTTAGAGGACAATCTTGCTTTTCGTTATAGTTTACTACTTGAGAGTTATGTGCTCTTTTTTACTACTCTTAGGGCCTTCATATCCGCTCGAGATTCACAATCAATCCTGATAAAGTTTATAGAATCGCCATGAGGAAGCTTAATACTTCTGCTGGGATTCTCGAGGTTATGGGTGCTCCTCTCTCAGGATCAGATCTAAGAGCCTATGTAATGTCCGGAGGTGGGGTTACATTGAAGAAGTTCAAGCCAACTTTTAGGAGCAAGCGGTGTTTCCTCATTTTCCCTGTGCGAGGTTCTGAGAGGAAGGGTCTGGTTAGTGTTGAAGTAAAGAAGAAAAAAGGCCAGGTTTGTATTTGTGATATGCTGGATGCTCCTAAATTTTTCTCTTCATAAGCATTCGTTTTTATTTAAGCACTGGGTACGACCTTTTTTTAAGCATTCGTTTTTATTTCAATTTTCCTCCTTGATCTCCTTGGGTGCATGCAAGAATGTATCTTGGTAAAATTATACTGCAGTCTGTGTACTATCTGCTGCTGTGATTCCTCTGGTAGAAGTTTGCTCGTTAAACAACAGATGGAGTGCCTGTCAAACAGAGCAGATTGAGTGCATGCTCTGGGACTTGACTAATCAAATGATGCTTTACATTAGTTAGTTAGTAGATGGGGTGTTGAAAATCCGTACTTGGATGACCAAGTTTTTCTCATTGAAGGGTGTCATCTTCTTATGCAGTATGATATGAAGCTACTGGCAGTTGACATTCCCATGGCATCAGGACCTGACCAACGTTTGTACCTGATTGGCGATGAAGAAGAGTACAAAGTTGGTGGTGGACTCATCTCTGAGCTTAGAGATCCGGTTGTGAAAGCAATGGCTGCATCCAAGGAATTCGATAATCTTGACCAGATTGAAGAAGAGGAGGATGCTGAAAAAGAACTTCAGGAGGCCGAAAGAAAGCACCGTGAAGAAATTGAAAAGCTTGAAAAGACCCCGTCACAGTGATTGTTTTTCTAGATTTTGTTCATGCTCCTTCCAAATACAAGAGTTTGTAAATAATGCGCAAGTCTTCGGCCATCGTATCAGATTGTTGGTGTCGGCTACCCTTGCATTGTTTTGCAGAGTTGAGTTTTACTGGTTGAAGTTACCTTGTACCACAAACAGCCAGCTTTGGAAATTTCGAAGTTAAGATGGCGCCAAAGAGGCAAATAAAAATGACAGACTAACAGCTGAAGCAAAAAGAATGGCTTTGATTATTTGTTTCTCTGATTTGTAATATTCATCCTCTTTCGAAACTTTGTGATCTTACTTCGGATTGTTATGACTGTTTTTTATGTGGTTGAAGGGTGAAAGGTCTCGTAATTTTCCAGCACCTTCGATTCGATCTCTTGCTTGGTCATCAAACATAGTTAATTCGATTCTTCTTTTCAAGTTAGTGTCCCTTTCATTTGGGAAGGTCTTACATACACTGCTGTAGCGTCCGTCCCATGTAGGTTGCTCCCCATTTGGGACTGGTGTTTTTTGCTACTGCCGAAAACACCTAAAGCTGTTAGGAGAAGCCATAAAGCACTTTTAATTTTACGTTATGAGATGTAATATTTAAGCCTTATTCTTAGGAGGTATGAGAGCAGTTGTGATTGAAACTTTCAATTTCTCCATGAAATCAACAAACAAGTTCTTGAACCGGCCCATGATCTTATAAAGTTCACTCTTAAATCTGCTTCAGTTCTCAAAGCTCCTACGGTGTTGAACCATAATCCATGAAACTGCAAAGACTAACATGCGAAGTCGGAGAAAAACTTCAGTATGGGCTTCCGAACCACATAGCCCGTGTGCCGGAACACACAAACCAGCTCTCTTCTTCTCGATAGCACCTTACATATATAACAGGTTCATCGTCATGTAATGTCCGATCCAATAATACAAGTGTTAAAAACTCTTACACCAAATTCCGTATTATTAGAACGGAAACCCTAATTCTATCTCACTCACTGTTGTCCGTAGTGCGCAACCCTACAAAATAGTCCCTCCAAAGCAAGCAAGCCTGAAACTGCAAGTGAAAGAACTGCCACGCGACGTCAGTCTGTCCATCCATCGCACGGCAGTGAGTGTCTCAATAACATTAGCCTGATAACATCAACAGAGAAAGGATATCAAATACGGCGGATCCCTTTCTATCAAATCCATATAATGAATAAATTCAGGTTTTTGAAATTTGATATAACGACTAAAGTTATTATAATTTTTAAAGGGATCCCTATTTTTAGCCGTTGGATCAAATTTCAAAGGTCTAAATTTATTGATTGGATGGATTTGATAGAAGTGATCCGGAAAGGATCCCTTTCCATCAAATACGAGAACAGCAACAGCAAACTACTCATACAATTAGGTTAGTCTTGGTCAGTGACATTGATTTCAGTTCAAATCTCTTTCCTCGTCTTTAGTTCATATACTATATTTTCTTATCAATCAATGCGGCTCAATTAAATGTCAAATTCAATACTTGATTACAGATGATGCGTTTGATGTATCATATAATTCACATGAGGTTTTCTCTTCATTGATGACTGAAATGTATAAAATTTGACTCATTTAATTGACGAGTTTGATATTATTCTTTTGCTATTTTCTTTTCATTGATAAATAAAACGTCTAAAATTCGACGCACTTAAAATAAAAAGTTAATGGTTGATTATGAATAACGAGTTTGGTATTCCAATTTTCCTGGCAGTACTAGTACTGAAGTTGTTGGGAATTACCAACTCTCGGAAGAGACAACTTACCATGATATAATTTCTGTTGAGGGACCATGTTTTCCATCAGAAAAAAGTTTCAGAAATTAGACCCTTTTACTTTATAAAGGACCCTACCATTTGAGAGTTGATGACTTCTTTTTATTTAATTAGGGTTCTGAATTCTGGTGGTGTAAAGTGTTGGGTTTGAAGTCAAATCAGGAGATTCGGATCCTTTCCATCAAATTTATCAATTAATCTAGATTTTTAAAATTTGATCAAACGATTAAAGTTATTACAATTTTTAAAGAGATCTCATATTTTTAATTATTTAATCAAATTTTAAAGATTCAAATTGATTGATGGGATGAATTTGATGGAAGAAATCCGAAAAGAATCACTTTCCAATTATAATATCATGCTTGATAATTCATCATAACAACGCAGCAACATTAAAAATTTCCCATTAGTAATTACAAGGGTATTCAATACTTTTATTAGGGTATAAGGGAATTATTCTCTTCCTAACTTATAAGTTGTTTGTAAGCATTTTTAGAATGACTAAAAGCATTTTATAAAATTAATCAAGCTTGTTATATCGTTTGAAGAAGTATCTGCTAGGCGCTCTTCAAAGCACTTCAATTTTTGATGAAATTTTTATTGTGTTTAAAAAAAAGTTTTAAAGGTTTTTGTTTCTGGACAAGCCCTTATACTAGAGAAAGAATTGGTCTCATCCCGTCATATGTATAACACATCTCAAAATCATATACAAGGCACCTCACAAAAAGCATGAGAAATTATGTATTTTGGCCACATTTAGACCTAGTTTGGGAGTGAGGTGCTTAAAAAAAAAGCACCTATGAAAAAAAGCTGTGAGAGTTTTAGGTGTTTGGTAAACTGAAAAAAAAAAAAGGCTTATTTTGGAAGCTGCTGTGAGAATAAGCTAAAATCAAAGGAAAAAGCTGAAGCTGCTATTTGCAGCTTTGGAAAACTGGCTTTTTTTCAAAGCACATGGGAGCTACAGTGCTCCTTTAATGAAAAGACCCACTATCAGACTGCTTTTCTTTCCAAAAGCACTTTTACAAAAAAGTTTACCAAACGCTCTGCTGATTTATTTCACAGCCGCTTATTCTCACAGCACAACCGCTTATTCTCACAGCAGCTTTTTTTCAAAGCACAGCAATACCAAACCAGCCCCCTCCCACCAATCCACTTAGGACGCCCTAAATTTCAAATCTGGTTTCAATACTACAAAGAAAGGAGGGTAGAATTGGAATTTTGAAAAATTTATTTTAGATGTTATTGTTCACCCGTGTTATGAGATGAAAAAGCCGATTTAAGATATTTACCAAACAATTAAAAGGCATCAACTTTTTTAAAAATTTCAGCAATACTTAACTAGTACTTAATGTGAGAATTACTCCAATCCGACAGTCTTACCAAAATTTATCTGTTCATAACTTCATACTGTATGCGAGTTTTGTGGCAAGAATTGTGCAATAATGATTTTTCCCAACTCCTAACCAATACCAAATAAAATGACAAGTAAGAGGCAGGACAATGACATGGGAGCAGTTTGCTCTCCAGTTTCTCTTCCAACTCTCCTCATTCATTACTTTGACTGAAGCATGCTTTCATGGATTCTGTTCCTAATTGCACTATATTTATTTATTTTATATTAAAGCGGCATTTAGCTTTTCTGGTTGAGAAATGTTCTGTTGCGTTGCCGACGTTACTGTTGAAGAATAAGTTGAGTGCTCTATTTAATTATATCAATTATACTGCATAACTGACATTTTTACCTCATAACTCCTCGAATCCAATCGTCAATACATTAACCATCACATAGTGATTCAGTGATTGTGACGAATTTTAGGTTCATATTTCACACGTCTGGTTCGAAGTTCTATTTCTAACGCTAGTGAATCATAGGATGATGACTAGGAATTGAAAAGCTATTACGAATCATCCCGACTCAAAAAAAAAAAAAAAGACTGTCTTAGCTTCACCACCAGCTAATCCTCTTTTTATAACAAAAAAACAACCACCAATTCATCAAATAATTCCGTTTCTCTATCAGTTATGGTATATTTATTTTATTTTCGTAGGGGAAAATAAAAATTATATTCCCGTTTTATTCAAATAATTAGTTCATTTTCCTTTGGTTTTAGTCCTGAGAAAAGTAGGTGCAAGAAAATGGTATCTCACTTACTCTCACCCTATACAGCCTCCTATACTTTGCTTATTTGCACACACCTTGATTTCCAAGTAGCACAGAAATCTGTGACAAATTGATCAGATTTTCAGGTAGATTCTTTCTGAGCCTCATGCGATTAAATTTTAGATATAAGTTCTTCTTTTCCACAGTTGTATAGCGCATCAGTGTATTTGTATATTTCTGAGTTGATATTTCTGGCACTGTTCCTTTTGTTTTGTAAGATCTGCAGAAACACTTTGGCTCAAAATGCATGAATGATCATCGCAAGTCAAATTACGTCGTGGAAATTACTTGGCTCCTGACATGTAAGAATTCGGGATTGTTCAATTTACAGTTTAGCAGAAGTAACTTTTCTTTTCATGCTTCTACAATACCAAGGGAAACCTGTAGCACACAACAAACCCTCCATCTTTCACAGAATATTGAGCTTTTCCTTTTTCTTTAGGAAGATTATCTTCTTGGATTCCATCTTTGTCACCACTTTGCTTTGTATATTTGATTGCTTTTCCCACTTGTTTTAAACTTTGAAGTGCATAATTTTTTTCTTTTAGGGGAAAAGGTTCACTGCAGCTTATATTTTGGTGAAGTCAAGCTCTCTTTTCTTTATTTCTTTTTCTTTTGGATAAAGATGGTGCACTTTGCTTTTTCCCAATTTACAAAAGTTGGTAGAGATGCCATCCCTTTTTTCCTCTATGTGTTTGAACCATGAAATTTTCCAGTTAATTTAAACCCATGATTAATCCGTCTAAATATAGAGATTACTTTTCAAAAGTCCATATTTTTGTTTTTAATCTTCTGTGCTTTCCTAGTAGGTAAAAATCGATCGAATTCGTATTTGAATAGCCACTGTAATTTTTTGAAAGAAATTAAATCAATTTCTTATGTCAATCATAAGAATTAAGACAGGCTAGCTAGCATATTTATTTGTCCCTAATGGAATCTGTCTCAAGTTATGTGACCTTTGATGCTGAGTTGAGTAGGTTTTCTTTTATCACCTTTTCGTTTGGGTTGTGTTTGATCCGAAGTTTGATCGCTAAGGCATAAAGCGAGGCGTTTTATATAGAACAACACTTTTCAAACACAGTTGTGATCAATCCTCTGGGATTTTCCCAAGTCATTGAGTGGTTCTTTGCCATCCTAAACCCGAAATGTAGACGAATTTTCACTGCTATCTGTATCCCTTCTGCATGATTCGTTAACTTTGTTTTCGAAGTTTTCTGATTGTATCATTTTCTTTCTGAGCAGAAAATCATGAAGCTTCAGGTCTCCTTTTGCACGCTTATCTTCCTTTTCCTTATTCCGCCTTTCCCTTCCTCGGTTTTTTCTGACCTGAACTCGGATAGACAAGCCCTCCTCAACTTTGCTGCCACCGTTGTCCACATCAAAAAACTCAACTGGAATGTTTCCACACCAGTTTGCACGTCTTGGGTTGGAATCACATGCAATCTAAACAAAACGAGTGTGACTGCCATCCATCTTCCGGGGATTGGACTTTTCGGTTCCATCCCTTCCAACAGTATAGGGAAGCTTCATGCTCTTCAAGTCCTCAGCCTCCGCTCAAACTTCCTCTATGGAAGTCTGCCTTCTGATATCCTATCCATTCCTTCCTTGGAGTACCTTTACCTCCAACACAATAATTTCTCCGGCATGCTACCTGCCTCTCTGCCTCCCAACCTCGTTGTCTTGGACTTCTCCTTCAACTCCTTTTCCGGAAGCATTCCAACTAAAATCCAGAATCTTACACGCCTCACTACGTTGTACCTCCAAAACAATTTCATCTCTGGAGCCATCCCCAATCTGAACCTCCCCGCACTTAAGCTTTTGAATTTGAGCTACAATAACTTGAATGGCTCGGTTCCATATTCCCTCGAAAAATATTCGAACTCTTCATTTGTTGGGAATCCTCAGTTATGTGGAGAACCTCTCAACAATTGTTCTAAAACCACCTCCTCTACCCCTTCTGCATCCTCTGCTTTCTTGCCACCCTCGCCAACCATTCTGAAAAATCACCATGCTACACTCATAAAAAAACTCAGCCCGGGATCCATTATTGCCATGGCATTTGGGTGCTCTGCAGTGTTTATTCTTCTAGTTCTGGTGGTTGTCATATGCTGCTGGAAAAGGACTAACAAAGTAGGTGGCGGGATGTTGAAAGGGAAGGCTGCGGGTGATGGAAAGGGTGAGATGCCTAAGGATTTTGGGAGTGGAGTGCAAGAAGCTGAGAAGAACAAGCTGTTCTTCTTTGAAGGTTGCTATTTCAATTTTGATCTTGAGGATCTGCTGAGAGCGTCAGCTGAAGTTCTCGGCAAAGGAAGTTTCGGAACAACTTACAAAGCTGTATTGGATGAGGAAACAACGGTTGTGGTGAAGCGGTTGAGGGAAGTTGTGGTGGGGAAGAGGGAGTTTGAGCAGCATATGGAGCTGGTGGAGAAGGTAGGGAAGCACCCAAATGTCCTGCCTCCTCGCGCTTATTATTTTTCGAAAGATGAGAAGCTTTTGGTGTACAACTACATTCCAACAGGAAGCTTGTTTGCACACTTGCATGGTATGATGCCTAATCTAAATCCTAATGTCTGATTATATTTACTTTAATTTATTTTCGTTGTTTCGATGGATAAGGCTTTGTTGTTGTTGTTGTTCCGATGAATTTGTAGGAAGCAGTGATGCTGGGAGGTCTCCACTAGACTGGGATTCAAGAGTAAAGATTTCGCTCGGGATTGCCAAGGGACTTGCCCACATTCATTCCGAGGGTGCAAAATCTAGCCATGGCAATATAAAGTCCACAAACGTCCTCCTCACCCAAGAACTCGAGGCTTGCATCTCAGACGTAGGGTTGAGTCCTCTAATGAACTTCCCTCCAGCCATGTCCCGGGCCATGGGATATCGCGCTCCCGAGGCAACTGACATGCGGAAAATCACTCACAAATCTGATGTCTATAGCTTTGGTGTGCTCCTCTTAGAAATGCTGACAGGCAAAACCACGCTTCAATATCCAGGTTATGACTGCGTGGTTGATCTCCCGCGTTGGGTTAAGTCTGTTGTGCGTGAGGAGTGGACAGCTGAGGTTTTTGATTTGGAACTTCTAAAACAGCAACACAGTGAAGAAGAGATGGTGCAGATGCTGCAGATTGCTCTGGCATGCGTAACAAAATTGCCCGAAACACGCCCCAACATGGATGACGTAGTCAGAATGATAGAGGAACTCCGGCAATCCGACACCAAAACTAGGCAATCCTCCGAGTCGGAATTTAATGTGCAAACCCCATGAAAAAAATCCAGTACTCTTTATTTTATTTTATTTTCTTTTCTTTTTCTGTTTAAGCATTGTCATCTTGTTTTTGGAATGCAATTGGAAATTTGGAAATAATGTTCAATGCTATTGTGTTTTCAGCATCACAATCTCCAACATTACTTTTATAAAACCAATCACGCTTGTAATACCGTTTGAAGAAGGGGCTCTTTAAAGCACTTAAATTTTTATGAAAATTTTGACGTGTTTCTAATAAAAGATAAGCACTCGTGTTTCTTAAAAAAAAACATTTGAAATAGTAACTAAAGATGTGTGAATCTTAATTTTTTTTAAAAGGTTTTGTCTTGGACAAGCCCTTCTACTAGAGAAAAAAATTGGTCTGATCACGTCATATGTAGGATGCTTCTCAAAATCATATATAAGGCACCTCTCAAAAAAAAAAAAAAAGAGAAATCATGTATTTTGGTCACACTTGACCCTCTCACTAATCCACTTAGGATGCCCCAAATTTCAGATCTGGTTCGAGACTGATAGCGTATAGAGAAAGGAGGGCATAATTGTAATCTTGAAAAATTCATTTTAAATGTTACTGTTCACCCGTTAATGAGATGAAAATAACTGTTTTCTAAAACTGTCTTTACAGTTCCAGTTTTTTGATTTTTTTTTACCTAAAATTGTGAAGAAAAAAAAAACCAATTTAAAATGTTTGCCAAATACTTAAACGCATGCCAGTTTTGTTTAAAATTTCAACAATACCAAGCTGGTACTTAATGTGAGAACTACCCCAATCCCACAGTCCTACCAAAATTTATCTCTTCGCGCACAGTATGCGAGTTTTGTGGCAAGAATTGTGCAACAATGATTTGTCCCAACTCCTAACCAATACCAAATAAAATGACGAGTAAGAGGCAGGACAATGACATGGGAGCAGTTTGCTCTCCCTCCAGTCCCTATTCCAACTCTCCTCAGTCCTTACTCTGAGTGATGCATGCTTCCATGGATTCTGTTCCCCATTGCAGTATATTTATTTATCTATTTTATATTAAAGCTGCATTTAGCTTTTCTGGTTTGTTATTCCTATATATAATTGCCGACGTCACTGTTGAAGAATAAATTGACCCCTCTATTTAATAATATTTTAATTATTTTCTTTATATTCCATACCTCACATTCTTACCCTCCAATCACCAATTCATTAATTACTACGTGGTGGTTCAGTGGTCGGAGCGAATTCTAGTCCTGATTCTATACAACTCGTTCTAAGTTTGATTTTTTACGTTGGTGATCTACAAGATGGTGATCAAGAGAGGTTAAAATGTTTTGTGAGTCTTCACAACTCCTAAAATAATAGACTGCTATAACTTTGGCACCCACTTATCCCCTTTTTAAAATGAAAAAAAAATCACTAATTTATCAAAAAATTCCGTTTCTCTATCAATTATGGTATATTTATTATTATTTTCATTAAACTAAGGGGAAAATAAAAATTATATTCCCGTTTTATTTAAATAATAAGTTCATTTTCCATTGGTTTTCGTCCTGAGAAAAGTAAGTGCAAGAAACTGGTGTCTCACTCACTCTCAGCCTCTTCAACTATTTTCACACACCTTGACTTTCAAGTAGCACGGAAATCTGTGACAGATTGATCAGATTTTCAGGTAGATTTTTTTTCTGAGCCACATATGATTAAATTTTAGATACAAGTTCTTCTTTTCCACAGTTCTATAGCGCATCAGTGTATTTGTATATTTCTGAGTTGATATTTCTGGCATTGTTCTTTACTAAGTTTACTTTTGTTTTGTAAGATCTGCAGGAACACTTTGGCTCAAAATGCATGAATGATCATCCCAAGTTAAAATTACGTCGTGGAAATTACTTGGCTTCTTACCTGTAAGAATTCGGGATTGTTCAATTTACAGTTTAGCAGCAGTAACGTTTCTTTTCGTGCTTCTCCAATTGTGTATATGTATCAGCAAATGATTGACAGTTTAAAATGAATGACTCGTTACAGGTAAAGAACCAAGTAACGTTCTTTTTTTAGCAAACCTGCAACAAAAGGCAACTAAATCATGTAAAATTCGGGAGTTTTAACAAAACACTTCCGGTATTATTCACGTTTAACGAAAATAATATTTGTACTCTAAAAAGTCACTTCTGATACTATTCACTTATACACATTTTTGTTAAAACTCAAAGTTTTCAAATTATTTTCGTTAGTTTTTCTTTTCCTTTTTCTTTAGGAAGATTATCTTCTTGGATTCCATCTTTGTCACCATTTTGCTTTGTATATTTGATTGCTTTTCCCACTTGTGTTAAACTTTGAAGTGTATAATTTTTTTCTTTTAGGGGAAAAGGTTCACTGTAGCTTATATTTTGGTGATGATCAAGCTCTCTTTTCTTTATTTCTTTTTCTTTTGACTAAAGATGGTGCATTTTGCCTTTTCCCAATTTACAAAAGTTGGTAGAGATGCCATTCCTTTTTCCTCTATATGTTTGAACCATGAAATTTTCCAGTTAATTTAAACCCATGATTAATGAGGAGGAACACCGTTAGTGTTCTACCTGTCAAGTTTTGTATCTTGTTGAGAATTTTATTTATTGGTCAAGAAGGATGTCGACTGCTGAAGACGAAAGCGCTGCAGCACAAGTCCTAAAGGAAATGATGGAGAAGCTGGACGCAGTCAAACAAGGCCAGATTTCGTATCCTCAGATAACGCTAGCGCCTGATGTATCAAGTCCTTTATTCAACTGGCAAGATCAAGACCCGGTTCCTCCTAATACAACAGCCCCTGGCAGTGCTCCGCACCTGCCACCAACCACTCCTCCGGTGGTAACCTCTCCTCAGATTGGGCAGCCCACTTCAAGCTCTGCAACTGCGGATCGCCCTGTCTCGTCAACCAGCGAGTTTCCAGTCAGCATGTATGGGATACCTGTCAACAATCCTACAGAGAGTCAAGTCACACCGACACCTCCTGCGGCAAATCCATCCCAGTCAGTCTTACCTCCTACCGACCCAAAGGGAATTGCTTTTGACTTCTTTGGACAACCTCGAGATCCAGATCCCACCTACAAGAAGACCCCATCAAGGGGGAATAAAGGAGAATTTGAGACAATGGTTCTAAACATGTCCAGTGAGAAAGGAGTCATGCTAGACCATCTGCATATCCAGAACATGTGGACTCTCAACTGTGCAAGCCCTACAGATTGGGGTCAATCCGAGGTATCGATATACCTGTCAGCTGTCCTTCTCGCAAACCAATTGTCTGCAGCAAACAAACTTGAGGGAATTGTTAACACCCTCACCCAGACAGTCGAGCGCCTTAATGTTCAATTTGCATCAGAGCGAGAAATCTCAAAACAACTGCTGGACAGATTCAACAATCTCAGCGTGCTAGTTTCTAGAGAGATAGCAGCACTACGATCTTTGATCTCCAAGGAGTCCGCAGAGACACGCAAATCTATCAATGCGCATGTAGAGAGTCTTGGGAAAGCCTTAATGGTAGCACCGACCCACCATGGGGCGAGCACATCTCAATCTGCCCCACAGAAGGCTCCAGAGCAAGAAGCTCCCAATCCGCAAGGAAGCGGTGGGATCAGAAGGATGAGCTTGCGGTGCAACTGGCAGACAAGTATGCTAATATTCCAATGGCGGACTACAATGCAGCTTGCTCGGTGAAAAGCAAAGATGGGCTGAAGTTGGTGTTGGCGGAGTAGAAGAAGAAATTTGGTTGAAATCATGTTTGTGGTTTGTGGAGGTTTGGAATCATGGTTTTTTTTTCTTTTTTTTTTTTTTCTTAAATCTAATTATTACACACATAATTAAGCTAATGACATTATAGACGACACACCAATATCAACTTTATTTGTTCATTAATTAATACCAAAGCCATTAATACTTATAAAGTCAATACACTAGAATTTTCTTTGAAAGAAAATTCTAGTGTAATGACTTTATAAGTATTAATGAACAAATAAAGTTGATATTGGTGTGTCCTATATAATGTTATTAGCTTAATTATGTGTGTAATAATTAGATTTGAGAAAGAAAAAAAAAAGAAAAAAAAACCCATGATTAATCCGTCTAAATATAGAGATTACTTTTCACTAATCCATGTTTTTGTTTTTAATCTTCTGTGCTTTCCTAGTAGGTAAAAATGCGTCGAATTCGTATTTGAACAACCACTGTAATTTTTTGAAAGAAATTCAAATCATAAGAATTAAGACAGGCTAGCTAGCATATTTATTTATCCCTAATGGAATCTGTCTCAAGTTATGTGACCTTTGATGCTGAGTTGAGTGGGTTTTCTTTTATCACCTTTTTGTTTGGGTTGTGTTTGATCCGAAGTTTGAAATCGCTAAGGCATAAAGCGAGGCGTTTTATCTAGCACAACACTTTTCAAACACAGTTGTGATCAATCCTCTGGGATTTTCCCAAGTCATTGAGTGGTTCTTTGCCACTCTTTGCCATCCTAAACCCGAAATGTAGATGAATTTTCGCTGCTATCTGTATCCCTTCTGCATGATTCTTAACTTTGTTTTCGGAGTTTTCTAATTGTATCATTTTCTTTCTAAGCAGAAAATCATGAAGCTTCAGGTCTCCATTTGCACGCTTATCTTCCTTTTCCTTATTCCGCCTTTCCCTTCCTCAGTTTTTTCTGACCTGAACTCGGATAGACAAGCCCTCCTCAACTTTGCTGCCACCGTTGTCCACATCCGAAAACTCAACTGGAATGCTTCCACGCCAGTTTGCATGTCTTGGGTTGGAATCACTTGCAATCTAAACAAAACGAGTGACTGCCATCCATCTTCCGGGGATTGGACTTTTCGGTTCCATCCCTTCCAACAGTATAGGGAAGCTTCATACTCTTCAAGTCCTCAGCCTCCGCTCCAACTTCCTCTATGGAAGTCTGCCTTCTGATATCCTATCCATTCCTTCCTTGGAGTACCTTTACCTCCAACACAATAATTTCTCCGGCATGCTTCCTGCCTCTCTGCCTCCCAACCTCATTGTCTTGGACTTCTCCTTCAACTCCTTTTCCGGAAGCATTCCAACCAAAATCCAGAATCTTACACGCCTCACTACGTTGTGCCTCCAAAACAATTTCATCTCTGAAGCCATCCCCAATCTGAACCTCCCTGCACTTAAGCTTTTGAATTTGAGCTACAATAACTTGAATGGCTCGGTTCCATATTCCCTCGAAAAATATTCGAACTCTTCATTTGTTGGGAATCCTCAGTTATGTGGAGAACCTCTCAACAATTGTTCTAAAACCACCTCCTCTACCCCTTCTGCATCCTCTGCTTTCTTGCCACCCTCGCCAACCATTCTGAAAAATCACCATGCTACACTCATAAAAATACTCAGCCCGGGATCCATTATTGTCATGCCATTTGGGTGCTCTGCAGTGTTTATTCTTCTAGTCCTGGTTGTTGTCATATGCTGCTGGAAACGGACTAACAAAGTAGGTGGCGGGATGTTGAAAGGGAAGGCTGCGGGTGATGGAAAGGGTGAGATGCCTAAGGATTTTGGGAGTGGAGTGCAAGAGGCTGAGAAGAACAAGCTGTTCTTCTTTGAAGGTTGCTATTACAATTTTGATCTTGAGGATCTGCTGAGAGCGTCAGCGGAAGTTCTCGTCAAAGGAAGTTTCGGAACAACTTACAAAGCTGTATTGGATGAGGAAACAACGGTTGTGGTGAAGCGGTTGAGGGAAGTTGTGGTGGGGAAGAGGGAGTTTGAGCAGCATATGGAGGTGGTGGAGAGGGTAGGGAAGCACCAGAATGTCCTGCCTCCTCTCGCTTATTATTTCTCCAAAGATGATAAGCCTTTGGTGTACAACTACATGCCAACAGGAAGCTTGTTTGCACACTTGCATGGTATGATGCCTAATCTAAATCCTAAAGTCTAATTATAGTTACTTTAATTTATTTTCATTGTTTCGATGGATAAAGCTTTGTTGTTGTTGTTGTTGTTCCGATGGATTTGTAGGAAGCAGTGATGCTGGGAGGTCTCCACCAGACTGGGATTCAAGAGTAAAGATTTCGCTCGGAATTGCCAAGGGACTTGCCCACATTCATTCCGAGGGTTCAAAATCTAGCCATGGCAATATAAAGTCCACAAACGTCCTCCTCACCCAAGAACTCGAGGCTTGCATCTCGGACGCAGGGTTGTGTCCTCTAATGAACTTCCCTCCAGCCATGTCCCGGGCCATGGGATATCGCGCTCCAGAGGCAACTGACATGCGGAAAATCACTCACAAATTGATGTCTATAGCTTTGGTGTGCTCCTCTTAGAAAGGCTGACAGGCAAAACCACGCTTCAATATCCGGGTTATGATTGCGTGGTTTGTTGTGCGGAAGCGGCGTACGACTGTAAGTGAATAGTAAAACAGAACAGAATAAAACCAACACCAACAAGAACACCAAGATTTATACTGGTTCGGCAATGCCTACATCCAGTTTGGAGACGACGGAGTATTCCACTATAATCAATGAGAACATACAATAGTGTTTATCACTCAATTTCCCAAAGACCCAAATAACCCCAAGCTCTCACACTTACAATAGGAAGAGAAAACCAAAAATACAAAACAAGACAATTTGAGAAAATTCTTCTCTATGCCAAATGGCTTCTTGCTATTTTTCTCTCTTCCTTGTTCTTCTCTACTTCTCCATGCTTATGAGCTACACCTTGCTCTCCTTTTATAGCTAAAGAAAAGCTTCTCAAAGACATCAATGGCCAAAGGCCTAACATCAAGTCAAAAAGAATTAGGCATAAGTGCATCCAATTTTGGTTTCCCACATGTAGCATGCCATCCAACAATTTTGACCACAAAAGTAGCCCAAAGATTTGGACTTTGACTACATGTTTGAGTCAATAATCAACAATCTCCACCTTGACTCAAACCCTCTAAGTAGAACTCCAAATAGTCATCTCCCAATCCCCCATGGGGCAATCAACAAATTTTACAAACGCCAATCAAGTCTAAGCAGTGCTTAAACTTGTGCAACGAAACTGGCTTCGTTAACATATCCGCAGGATTGTCAGCGGTCCCCATCTTCTGAAGAAGAATATCTCCCTCGTCAATAATCTCACGAACAAAATGGAACCTCACGTCAATGTGTTTCGTACGTGCATGATGAACTTGATTCTTTGCTAAATGAATAGCACTCTGACTGTCGCAATAAACATCCACATGGTCTTGTTGAACCCCTAAGTCATCAAGCAACCCTTGAAGCCAGATGGCTTCCTTTATAGCTTCTGTCACAGCCATGTATTCTGCCTCAGTAGTCGACAAAGCAACTGTAGATTGCAGAATCGACCTCCAACTTACTGGACCTCCAGCAATAGAGAATACAAAACCAGTAGTGGACCTACGCTTGTCCAAATCACCTGCGTAATCAGAATCCACATATCCAACAACACATTTACCAGTAACTTTATCCTGCTGGAACAATAAACCAACATCCACAGTACCCAGAATATACCGTAGAATCCATTTCACAGCTTGCCAATGTCCTTTTCCTGGATTATGCATATATCTACTTACAATGCTTTTCCCAGCAACCTTAAAACCTTCTGGTTGAGACATATAAATCTCTTCCTCCAAATCACCATGTAAGAACGCAGTCTTGACATCAAGTTGGGCTAACTCAAGGTCAAACTGCACAACCAAAGCCAACAAAATACGAATAGAAGAATGTTTTACTACAGGAGAAAATACCTCATTGTAGTCAATGCCTTCTTTCTGAGCATAGCCTTTAGCTACCAATCTGGCTTTGAATCTTACATTGTCTTTTCCCAAAGATTCCATCTTTTTGGCATACACCCATTTACAACCAATTGCTTTCTTCCCCTTTGGTAACTGAACCAGCTTCCAAGTCTTATTTTTTATGAAGAGATTTCATCTCCTCATCCATAGATTTCTTCCACAACTCGCACTCTGAACTCATGACAGCTTCTTTGTAGGCGGATGGAATATCATCTTCAATAACGGGAAGTGCATATGCCACAATATCAGTAAATCGAGCAGGCTTTCGGATTTCCCTTCTCGATCTTCTGGTTGCAATATAGTCTTGTTGCTGTGGAGGCTCTTGGGTAGGTGCCTCCTCTTCATCATCCTCGTCCTCATCATCAGAATTAACTGTAGGACTAGTGTTTGAAACATCAGACCTTACTGGAACAACTGGAGTCTTCAGTAACTCCACCTGCTTTGAGCTCCTCATGGTTTTGGTCGCTTCAGTTTCACCTTCATGCTTGTTCTGATTAACCATAGCAGCCTCATCAAAAGTCACATCTCTGCTTACAACAAATTTCTTCTCATCTGGACACCAGAGTCGGTATCCCTTCACGCCAGTGCTAAAGCCCATAAATAGAGCTTTCTTTGCTCTTGGATCCAACTTGCTTTCTCTGACATAATAGTAAGCAGGACAACCAAATATGTGTAAAAACTTGTAATCAGTACAAGGTTTACCAGACCATACCTCCATGGGCGTTTTGCCCTCGTTCGCAGCAGCTGGCAATCGATTAATGAGATGGCTTGCATAAGTGAGTGCCTCAGCCCAAAATGCCTTGCCTAATCCAGCATTAGACAACATACACCGAACTTTCTCAAGCAAAGTACGGTTCATGCGTTCCGCCACCCCATTCTGTTGCGGTGTCTCCCTAACCGTGAAGTGCCTCACAATACCCTCATCTTGACAAACTTTCAAGAAAGGATCAGACTTATATTCACCCCCATTGTCTGATCTGAGAGTCTTGATCTTTCGACCGCTTTGCGTTTCAATCATCTTTTTCCACTTCAGGAATATCTTCAAGACTTCATCTTTACGCTTCATGGTGTACACCCATATTCTTCTAGAGAAGTCATCAACAAAGGAGACAAAATAATGGCTACCTCCCCAAGATGCATTCTTGGAAGGTCCCCAAACATCAGTGTGAACATAATCAAGAATGCCTTTAGTGTGGTGAATAGCAGTGCCAAATTTTACTCTAGTTTGCTTACCCAACACACAATGCTCACAGAATTCCAATTTGCATGCCTTTGCACCTTTCAATAAGCCTTGCTTCACCAATCCTTGCAACGCTTTTTCACCAGCATGCCCAAGACGCATATGCCATAACCTCGTGGTGTCTGTGCTATCTGCGTCAGCAGCTTCGGTGACAGCTGCTCCACCAATAATTGTACTCCCCTGCAAGAAATACAAGTTATTTCGTCTTATACCTTTCATCACCACCAGTGCCCCATACACAGCTTTAAGAACTTCACCCTCCATGGTGATCTTGAGACCCTTAGATTCCAATGCACCCAGTGAGATGAGATTTTTCTTCATATCCGGTACATACCGAACATCACTTAATTCTCTGACTGTTCCATCATGCATCTTCAAACAGATTTTGCCTATCCCTTGTGTTTTGCAGGCATTATCATTACCCATCAAAACAACTCCACCATCCAGCTCCTTGAAATTAGAAAACCATTCCCGAATGGGACACATATGATAGGTGCAACCTGAATCCAAAATCCACTCATTTGAGTGACCATCAGCATATGAACTAGCCAAAGCAAACTCGAAATCATCATCATTTCCAGATTTTGCAATATTTGCTTCAGAACCTGCTTTCTCCTTCTCTTTGTTCTTCAATTTGGGACAGTCTTTCTTCCAATGACCCTTTTGGCGACAAAAAACACATTCATCTTTAGCAGGAAACTTCCCTCGTGACTTTGAACGAGAGATTTTCCCCGCTTCCCAGATTTTCTTTCCTCTGTTCGACCCCTTGCAACAAATGCCTCGGTTTGTGAATTGTGAGTCTTCAGTTCCTTCTTACGACACTCATGATTCACCAATGCCGCAGACACCTCATCAAGTTTCACCTCGGATTTTCCATACAACAGAGTAGTTGTCAAATGATCATAATCATCAGGCAATGAATTTAACAAACATAGTGCCTTGTCCTCGTCAGGAATTTTCACATCAAGGTTTGCTAAATCAGCAAGTATTTTATTATAATCATTGAGGTGTTCGTGCATAGAGATACCTGGACGATACTGAAATCGGAAGAGTCGCTTCTTCAAGAAGAGACGATTTTCTGCGCTCTTGGTCATATACTTCTCCTCCAATTTCGTCCATAACTCCTTAGCAGAAGTTTCCTTCATATACGGGTATTTCAACTCCTTATCAAGGAATGATCGAATAGCAGCACAAGCATGAAGATTAATTCGCGTCCACTGCTTGTCATCAATATCTTCTGGTTTATCTTCCAGAACCATATCTAACTCTTGTTGATACAACACATCCATAACTTCACATTGCCACATACCAAAATTATTAGAGCCATTGAATTTATCAACCTCTAACCTTGTAGTAGTGGTTGGATGTCTATTGGATGTAGACGAAGACGATGCTGACTCCTTCCTTACAGATTCATCTTTATCTCCAGCCATCTACTCGGCACTATTCACAAATACGGCACTGTTCACAGGTACAATACTGTTCACAGATACTGTAACAGTTCACTGTTCACTGAACTGTAGCGCCAACACTATTCACGGAACTGGGCTCTGATACCACTTGTTGTGCGGAAGCGGCGTACGACTGTAAGTGAATAGTAAAACAGAACAGAATAAAACCAACACCAACAAGAACACCAAGATTTATACTGGTTCGGCAATGCCTACATCCAGTTTGGAGACGACGGAGTATTCCACTATAATCAATGAGAACATACAATAGTGTTTATCACTCAATTTCCCAAAGACCCAAATAACCCCAAGCTCTCACACTTACAATAGGAAGAGAAAACCAAAAATACAAAACAAGACAATTTGAGAAAATTCTTCTCTATGCCAAATGGCTTCTTGCTATTTTTCTCTCTTCCTTGTTCTTCTCTACTTCTCCATGCTTATGAGCTACACCTTGCTCTCCTTTTATAGCTAAAGAAAAGCTTCTCAAAGACATCAATGGCCAAAGGCCTAACATCAAGTCAAAAAGAATTAGGCATAAGTGCATCCAATTTTGGTTTCCCACATGTAGCATGCCATCCAACAATTTTGACCACAAAAGTAGCCCAAAGATTTGGACTTTGACTACATGTTTGAGTCAATAATCAACATGGTTGATCTTCCGCGTTGGGTTAAATCTGTTGTGCTTGAGGAGTGGACAGCTGAGGTTTTTGATTTGGAACTTCTAAAACAGCAACACAGTGAAGAAGAGATGGTGCAGATGCTGCAGATTGCTCTGGCATGCGTAACAAAATTGCCCGAAACACGCCCCAACATGGATGAAGTAGTCAGAATGATAGAGGAATTCCGGCAATCCGACACGAAAACTAGGCAATCCTCCGAGTCGAAATTTGATGTGCAAACCCCATGAAAAAACTCTTGTACTCTTTTTTACCTGTTTAAGCATTGTCATTAGAATGCAATTGGAAATTTGGAAATTTGGAAATAATGTTCAATGCTATTTTGTTTTCAGCATCACAATCACCAAAATTATTTTAGAACTTGCATTCAGTTAAAACTCTGTATGTCTCCAATCGGTTTTTCTCATTGATACAAGCGATATTAAGGATGAGAGTACCGAACACAGAATTTTGGTGCAGGGTCTAACTCAATCCCCTAAAAATGGTAGTCATAGTTAGGTTTGTAAAGTCAAACGATTCAACTTGAAATTACTTCCAAATAATATGACAACTAATTTTCCGTAACAAACATTAACAATTTATTTTTGCAAACAATTGGACGTACTAGGTTTTTTCCACCATTTATCAATCAAAGACAAAATCAAAACATTGTCCCTCATCATATTTCAGTTCGGTTTTTTACAACTCATAACTTCTGTTTAAAAAACTTGAAGGCGTTAATAAAAATGCAAGTAAATCATGGAAAATTACTTAAAAGTATTTCCTATAAGGCTACAAGAAGGGCATAACAAGTGTTTCTTGCAAGAAATACTGCCTTTGTAACTCATTAACTTTTCTCTAAAAGCGCTTTCAGTTATTTAGAAACACTTTTCAAACGAACCCTTAATATTACTTCATATTGTCATATTATTTTTGTTTAGTCCAAATAAAAACTCCAAATATCTGATTATTTGTGTTAATTACACCTTATATGGCAAGCCAGCTCTGTTGTCGTTTGAGCAATATATAATTTTCCCATTTTTCTTGAATCGACGTCCACAAATTCAACTTTCCTATCATAATCCCTTTCTTCCATCTTCTTAATCCCAATTTCTGGGGTTTTTTTTTTCTTTATCCTTGGTTGCGGATTAAGCTTTAATCACCATGAAGATTAAAGCTTGCCAAAGGTAAATCTTCTCATTAATCCACAAACATAATGCCATTGTTTTGATCAAACATTTCCCTTCATCCTCCATAATTTGATATTTTTTCATGTAATTAATAAAATTTCACATGAGCATTCCACCATTGAAATTATTGTTTCATGAAATTAACATCAATTAGCCTTGTATTGTCTATCTTTTTTACTTGGCATCGAAATTCGAAAGCTCAAATTAATACGAAAAATGAGGGCGTTCATGTTTGTTTGCTCTTCATTTCAAATGTACCACTGCCTGTAAATTTCCATGGAGAAAAGTTGGAGGAATGAAGAACGGGACCCTTTTTCTGAGGGTTTTTTCTTCATTTTATGCTAAGCGAATGTCTCTAGACCAAATCGACACGAGAAGTCACAATAGCATGTATTGGTTGCCTGACAAGGTTTTCATTTTTACTTTGATAGATGTTTCTGGTAAATATATTCCTAGTTCATCTGTGCACACTCAATGGGAATTTGCTGCTCTATGGTAAGTTTCTTTGTATGCAAACAGATGATAATTTAGAAGCCTCTCAGGTAAATGACATTTTTCTGCATATCTTCCGACAAAATGCTTCAATTCTTGCAGTGTTCCGGACACAATATCGATGAGGTTCATCAAGAGGGTCATCATCTTGCCGGCAGAAATGTGCACCTCATAAAGACCATGGAAAGTTGGGAGGAAAAGTTATCAGAAGCAATCAAGGATGGAAAAATTGTAAGTTTGCAGCGCTCTTAACTTCCTGATTTCGTGCATTCGCATAATGTACCATTTCTTATTGTGAGTTCGTGTAATGTGACTTTTCTTACCGTTATTTCACATAACGTAATGACCTGTTCACATCACGATAAACAAGCAAACCTTCGTGCACCAAATGTAACCAAAATCGGGCTCATAAGAGATGATGTGCAACCCTAAACCCGAATTTTCTCTCTCATAATATCTTCTCTATTGAAAACTGTCCAACAGGTTGTTGCAAATTTCAGTGCATCATGGTGTAGGCCCTGTATTATGATTGCACCAGCCTACTGTGAGCTTGCAGATAAATATCCTTCTATCATATTTCTAACCTTGGATGTTGACGTTCTCGCTGTAAGTACAAATGATTTCTTATTTGATTGCATTATTTGCGTAGAACAGATGTATAGAATTGCAGCTGCCAATGAAATGTTCCTTCCCTTAATCTGGGGTTGCAGGAGTTGAGTACTTCATGGGATATAAAGGCCACTCCGACATTCGTTTTTCTTAAAGATGGAAGACAAGTGGACAAACTCGTCGGAGGAAACAAGCCAGAGCTCCAGAAGAAGACAGCAGCCGTCGTGGCTCAATTAGCAACCCAGTCTCCAAGATTACTCTTGTGATGAATTTTTTCGTTTTTCATTTCTTCTGGATATTCTCCTGAAAATCAATCCGGCCTCAGCGTGTAGAATGATGTCCATATTAACTAGTTATATGATCAAATCAGAGATTTTTTTATATCTTCTCTTCATAAACATATCTTTGTTGCTTGCAGCACAAGGTTTCTGGAGCTGAAGGAAACGGAATGCTATTTTAGTAACCCTACATAGACAAGGTACCTGCAGTACAAGATTTCTGTTAATAGCCCTACATAGACAAATTCTTGACACCGATACTCCGACACACAGATATAGCTTATAAAAAAGTCGATATTAAATTCAATTTGCATCCGAATGAAAAATGATAAGATAACCACAGTCGGACAAAATTCAGCATTATTTGAGAGGAAATCTGTATGAAAATGAAGAAAACAACCAATTTTACATACATCCGAATACGTTTCTTGTATGTGAAGCTTTCTAAAACTATGTATTGGTTCAGCATTGGCAATTTGTATACCAGACAAGAAATGACAGAAAGAGACAGACATATATATATAGAAAATTGTCCCAGATATTAGTGTCCTTTCGGTACTAACGGCTTTTCAAACAAATTAATCGTTAATCACAGTGCAAATTTCTCGAAATATAGGAAAGGAAAATCAAAATCTGTCAAAGTTCCAAAATCCAAAACAAAACAGAGGAATCTCCGCCCCATTGATCTTTTTAAATCATCACTTAGATCTTTAGCAAACCCTTCCCCGGATCTGTCACTCCGTCGCCGAAAAACACAACTTTCTGCCATGGCAGGTGGTAAAAAAACCATATTTTCGTCTCTCGACAATGCCAAGACTCAACTCTATCATTACAAGGCGATTGTCATTGCCGGCATGGGATTTTTCACCGATGCTTATGACCTCTTCTCGCCATCACTGCCGTCACAAAACTCATAGGCCGCCTTTACTACTACGACCCTTCAAAGAACAAGCCCCGCGCTCTGCCTAACCACATCAACAATGCCATAACAGGGGTTGCTTTGTTCGGGACTAGCAGGGCAACTCCTCTTTGGCTGGCTTGGAGACAAACTCGGTAGAAAAAAAGTTTATGGAATCACATTAGTCACAATGGTGGGATGTGCTCTGGCCTCCGGCCTTTACTTTGGCCGCAGTGCTCAAGGCGTTGTCACAACTCTCTGTTTCTTCTGATTTTAGCTCGGATTTGGAATTGGAGGGGACTACCCCCTCTCGGCTGTGATCATGTCCGAATACGCCAACCAAAAAACCCAGGGTGGGTTCATTGCAGCTGTGTTTGCGATGCAAGGATTCGGCATTTTGGTTTCAGGAGCCATGGCCATGTTCGTGTCCAAACTATACTTGCTAGGCTGATGATTTTTGGACTAATCCTGTCCTCTCCACTCAGCCAGAAGGCGATTTTGTGTCGCGAACTGGCGCAGTCCTTCTGACCTTCTATGGGAGACTAAAATGCCCGAGACTGCAAGGTACACTGCCTTGGATGCAGGAGGTCATGACAAGGCCAATGCAGACATGGCTAAAGTCCTCGAAAGGGACATACCGGTCGGAGAATCTGGTACCAAACCCCTAGTTGATCCAAATTCCGCATATGAATTGTTTTCTAGGGAGTTTCTTAGGCGGCACGGCACACATCTTCTCGGTACCGCCACCACCTGGTTCTTACTAGACATTGCATTTTACAGCCTCCAGCTAACTCAGAAGGATATTTATCCTTCCATTGGTATTAAGTTTAATATTTGGTTGTGTATTGATTCATTGACTGCTGTAATGGCAGTTTGTTTTATATACATCTTACACACACGCATGCATTTAAACAAATGCATGCAATAAACAAATGTGGTAAAGGTGGCGTGCTTGCTGCCCATGCTGCAACACATCAGAGCACAGGAGTCGAAACCATGTGGTAGTCTGCTGACAAGGAATATTGTACCCACGTGCAGTAGTGGGACAAGTTCTCTCAACAATTGGACTTTTACCTAGGGCTTCGGCAATGAATGCAATTGAAGAAGTCTACAAGCTCTCCAGAGCAATGCTGCTAGTAGCACTTTTTGCCACGGTTCCCCGGTTACTGGTTTACTGTGTTCACAATTGACAAGCTTGGAAGAAAACCATCCAGCTCGGGGGTTTGTACTGATGTCGATTTTCATGGGAGTTCTAGGGTTTCAGTACGGAAATCTTAGGGGAGAGGAGTGTGAGATAAAAACTCCACCTTTGAGTTCTGCAAGGGTCACACCAAATTGTTCACTTTGTTATATGGGCTGGCATTTTTTTTTTGCAAACTTTGGACCCAACAGTACGGCTTCCATCGTGTCAGCCGAGCTTTTCCCGGCTAGATTTTGGTTCACATGCCACGAGGTGTCAGCGGCCGCGGGCAAAGCGGGGGCTATACTTGCTGCATTTGTGCTGCAGAATTACACTCATGAGGTTGAAGGGGTGCAAAGGGCGATCCAGGCGCTTGCTGTGAATAATTTGATCGGATTCTTCTTCAGTTTCTTGGTGCCGGAGACAAAGGGCCGGTCACTTAAGGAGGTTTCGGGGGAGGACAATGATTTTGGAGGCAATGGTGTGACAGCCGTTAGTGCATATGAGAAGGCAGTTGAAGCTAGTGCTGCCATTGTTAGCAAAGATAAAGTTCCAGAAGCTGGAAATAGTAATGGTTTAGAGATATTTCGTGCGATTTGTGTATCCTAAAAAGGTCTCCTTTTCGATAAGGTTTATAGTTTTCATGTTAGATCACATTTTTCTCACTGTCTTTCTGATTTATCGAAAAAGGAGATGTCAATGTGACGTTATTTCAAAAAAATTCCTCAAATTTTAGATCAATTTTGATTGTGGACGATTTTTAATAGAGATAAATCTTCAAAAATTTCCAAAATTATATACAATTGTTATCGTATATAACTGCATCATACGATGCGTGCATTTTTTTAGTACAAACCTAAAGCCACCAAAAACTAAAACAACTAATCAAATTTTGGTCTAGTAACTCCCGATAAATCTCCCTGAACCAAACCACCAACACTATGGGGAGGAGCCTCAAAAATATGACAACCATACTCCAAAGAAGGACCAATGAGTTGAATATCAGTGTGCAACGAACAAAACTACAAAATAATAAGAATATTATTAAACAAATTGAGAATGCTGAAACGGCTACAAAATCCCAAAATGCTACATCATGACTAACATGTTCTCGCCTAAATAACAAACATGCTATTTATAATAAACTAACCCTAATCCAAAAAGGTAAGAAATCAAAACCCTAATGTTAACGAGCTAAGCCCAGAAAAACAAACATTCAAATAAACCAAAATACTAATATTTTCCAACATCCCCGGTCAAACTCATGGCGGTATACGATATGGGTTTGCAAACAAGCAAATGCGAATTGGCTTCTTTAGGCGGACTGGCAGACATGCAAACTTGACTTAACTTGCAAAGTGATTCCGATTCTTACATGCTAATATGTGAGTATGAAAATAAAGCACATGAGTGCTCCCTGTCACTAAACGGATGAGATATTCATATCTCAATTGTACCAACAAACGAACAATGCCAAAAAATTCTGGCAACTATCACTCAAGTGGTCAACATTCCGAACACTCGAGAATTCATTACGAAAGACAACGGCAGATACCCCAAACTTCAAAAGGAAAACTAACGAAAAGTCCAAAAAAACTTTAGTTTTAATGAAAAGAGACAAAAAAATGTGTAATGAATAGTACTAGAGAAAAGTAAAAATGTGATTTTTCGTTAAAAGTAAACAGTAAATAAAGTGTTTTGTTAAAACTCTCAACTTCAAAACAAAGCCAACAACTTGTGTGGGCCTAAAACAAACTTAACCATTTTTTATTCTTTGCCCGTGTGGGCCTAAAACAAACAACCTAAAAGATCTTCTTTTTTTTTTAAGATCTTCTTTTGTTCTTTTTTTTTTCTTTTCTTTTCGTCGTTTTTCTTTTCTTCTTCCCTTCAACCTTTCTTTCTGGGCAGTGGTTTTCTCCAGAACTAACAATACAATTGCGAGTGCAGTGGATTCAACGGAGGTGTGCATACAATGGGTACAGTGGTGCAACGATGGCGTATGTGGAATGGTTCACATACGGACGAAGGGGGCAGGCCTGGTACGAAGGCTGATGGCTGGTGGTGGGTTCAGCACGGCAGCGGATATTGGTCGGGATTACAGGCAACAGCGTATACAGGAACAATAGCAGAGGATGGATCGACTCGATCCAGCGTCGGCACAGGTCCAAACTTCAATTCCAGAAACGTCCTCTTTTTTTCTTCTTTTTTTTTTTTTTTTTATCTTTTTCGACTATGAATGACAACCAAAAAACAAAATATTCCACGAATCGAAACTGGAAAAATAAACAATGACAAACACTGATAACGAAGAGAAGTCGATATAATCCCGAATAATAACCAAGTTAAATATGAGAATGTACAACAAACAAAACTACAAAATGGTAAGAATATTATTAAACAAACTAAGAATGCCGAAACGGCTACAAAATCATCAGAGGCTACATCGTGACTAACATGTTCTCGACTGAATAACAAACATGTTATTTATAATAAACTAACCATGATCCTAAAGAGTAAGAAATCATAACCCTAATGCTAACGGACTAAGCTCGTAAACCAAACATTCAAATAAATCAAAATACTAATATTTTCCAACACAATTCCTGCTAATTAATTTATCCGCAACATAGTTCCCTTCCCAAGTGTGTTGAATCCTACATCTGCCATCATGCATTAAAGATTTCCAAGTTCCCAAGTGTGTTGAATCCTACATCTGCCATCATGCATTAAAGATTTCCAAGAAGCCACCAAGTTAAAGTGAGGATGCTGAGGATCGCAAGCTAACTCACCAAACATATCTCCTGTATTTTTAAAATCAGACTCAATAATAAGAGGAAACCAACTATGTAGAGAAGCCACTCTTAATCCATGTAAAATCGTTCCTAACTCAGCTTGCAACACAGAACCACAACCAAGATATAAAAACTCGATGATATTAGCAGATAGTTTACTCATTCTCATTTCTCAACTTTAAATGACCAACAAAAACAAAAGCAATTATGTATTGGAAATGTCTCATACTCCA